TCGTTTAGATAATAATTCCATCTTTACCGGGAACCAAATTTTACTCTGAAAGATGTCAATATCACTGCAGAAAACTATGCAACAGGAAGTGTTTTAGTAGAAACTACAGCCTCAATAGCGCTTGGAGACAAAGCTGAACTTTCTCTTTTAGGAAGTCCTGCTATCACGTTGACTCGTTTTTCTGAAGAAGCTAAATTATTGAAGAAGATAAAGTAAAAAAGTTTCAGGTTTCAAGTTGTTGGAACTTGAATTTTACCGCAAGGTTCGCTAAGATTCATTTTTTTTGTCATCAAAAAATCTTGCAAAGACGCTAAGTCGCAAAGTTTATTATAAAAATAATGTCCCACTCTAAAAAAAGAATGGGACATTATTATTTTTTGATCTAAAGTTTCCCGCTCCAACAACTTGAAACCTGAAACAAGGAAAACCTGAAACTAAATTTACTCTTTAGATGCCAAATATCTTTCAGCATCTAATGCAGCCATACATCCTGTACCAGCCGCAGTAATTGCCTGACGGTATACATGATCTGCAGCATCACCAGCTACAAAAACACCTGGTACATTTGTATTAGATGTTCCCGGAGTATTGATGATGTAACCTGTTTCATCAAGTGTGATGTAATCTTTAAAAATATCTGTATTTGGTTTGTGACCAATAGCTACGAAGAATCCTGTTGCAGGAATTTCAACAACTTCAGCAGTAGTTTTATTCAACGCTTTTATGCCGTGTACAACATTTCCATCTCCTAATACCTCAACAGTATCGTGGTTTAGTAAAATTTCTATATTTTCGGTTTTGCGAACGCGTTCTTCCATGATTTTAGAAGCTCTGAATTTTTCGCTTCTTACCAACATTGTTACTTTTTTACAAAGTTTAGATAAGTAATGTGCTTCTTCACAAGCAGAATCTCCAGCTCCCACAATTACAACTTCCTGATTACGATAGAAAAAACCATCACAAACGGCACAAGCAGAAACTCCACCACCCATTTGTAAATAATGTTGTTCTGATGGTAATCCTAAATATTTAGCCGATGCTCCAGTAGAAATAATAACTGTTTCACAGTGCAATTCGATTGAATCGTTAATCCATACTTTATGAATATCTCCTGAAAAATCAACTTTTGTAGCCCAACCATCACGGATATCAGATCCAAAACGTTTTGCTTGCTCTTGTAATTGAACCATCATTTCTGGTCCTGTAACACCATCAACATAACCTGGGAAATTTTCTACTTCGTTTGTCGTAGTCAACTGACCACCAGGCTGCATTCCTTGATATAAAACTGGATTCATATTTGCTCTGGCAGCATAAATAGCAGCAGTATAACCTGCAGGACCAGAACCTATGATTAGGCATTTAATTTTTTCGATTGTATCTGACATAATATGATTCTATTAATAATTGATGGTGCAAAAGTAAGTTTTTATTGTTGGAATAAAGAACTCTATTAATCAGTTTTTGCTATTCTGAAATAGAGAATAGCGAATACGGTAGAAATAAAAATACTTCGTGACGTATCAGTGCTAAATATTATAGAGAAACATCAAAAGTTTATGTTCACTAATTATTTTTTACCGCAGAGATCGCAATCCCGATAGCTATCGGGATTCGCAGAGTTCACGGAGATTGGAGTTGTGTTATACAATCTAAGTCCGCAAAGCTTTGTGGCCTTTGTGTTTTTACTGAATTTAGAATGTTTAAAAAACTTACTGTTCTCCGTGGTAATTTTTTTTCTCTCTTCAGAAGTTTTGATATTGGAATTTCCGTTTCATGCAAAAAAAAAAGCCTTTTCAAAAAATGAAAAGACTTTTGTCGGGGTGGCAGGATTCGAACCTGCGGCCTCCTGCTCCCAAAGCAGGCGCGATAACCGGGCTACGCTACACCCCGTAAGCGGGTGCAAATATATAACTATTTTTTGCTTATCCAAAACAATTTTAGAAATAAGAAAAAAAATATTTCACAACAAATTATAATTAGAAACAAATGAGTCAATTACTAATTTATACAAACAACATAAATATGTCTTTTAATATCATAAGTATGGCCTTTACAATAAACCTAATTGTCTAGATTAAGCTTTTTTTGCAAAAAAAAATCAAGAAAATGAAAAGAATACTATTATATATTATTTTCACTATCTCAGTGACAGCCGTTGCACAAGAGAGCCCAATATCCAAAGATGAAACATCAAGATTGAAAATTTAAAATTGCATACAGAAAAGGCACATGCTTCTTATTATCATGATAAATTTAACGGAAGAAAAACAGCAAGCGGTAAAAAATTCGACAACAATAAACTGACTGCCGCGCATAAAAAGCTTTCTTTTGGTACAAAACTAAAAATCACAAACGTATTAAATAAAAAATCTGTTATAATAGAAGTTACCGATAGAGGTCCTTTTGTTAAAGGCAGAGAAATTGACCTTTCTAAAAAAGCTTTTATGGATATTGCCTCAAACAAAAATAGTGGAGCGATTAATGTAAAAATTGAGATTTTACAAAACTAGGATCCTATTTTAACAGCTGTCCTAAATATTTTTTAAAATTAAAGTCATAACAGTTATCACCTGATTGAGAATCATAGCCCGTGGTTTCAACCATGGGAAACGTATTGTAATAATACATTGTGATAAATGTATTAGAACCCAACGGTTGAAACCATTGACTATGCTCAAATGCGATAAATGCCTCTTTAAGGTTTTGCCATCCTGATTGAAAACTGGGATGTTACCAGATTGGAATAAAAAAACGCTGAAGATCAATTGACCTTCAGTGTTTTGTTTGAAAGGTTTCTAATGAGTCTTTCTTTTTACTTCTCCATAGTAATATACGCAGGATACGATTCACGATTAGGCAAATCAAATTCTTCATCATAAGGTTGTGTACCTTCGCCATTATTGTATAATGTCACACGTTTCACACCAGTTGCTGTGCTGCCGCCGATGCCATTGATAACATTTTGAATATTACCCGGACCAGCAAAACGAGTAATACACATTTTTTCGAGTTTCACATTTGGGCTATTAGGAGCTTCAAAACCATTTTTCTTATTCACTTTACCATCAGTTCCTGTAAAAACGGCATAAGATCCCATTCCTATACTTTGATGTTCTTTTACAGTATTAGCAACTTTGAATGCTGCATAACCATCAACTCGTCCTCCCTGACTACTCCAACTTGTCTGATTTGGCGCATCGTATGGTGGTTCATTCTGAAAGAAATAAGTTCTGCCGCGTTCTCCTAACCAAAGCACTTCATATTCTTGATAATGTTCTGTAAACAAAGCATAAAGTGTAACATCATCACCGGAAACAATAAGTCCGTTTTTACATCTATCTCTTAACCAACGTAAATCACCACCACGCTGCGAACCATGGTCGGCGCGCCACAGCCAAAAATGATCACCCACCACATTGTTACTATTTATTTGCATAGAAGCATCTATCTGAATATTTTTTGACTGAACTCCACCTACTCTACAAGTAATATCTGTAACCAAAATAGGATTTCCCGAATGATCTGCATTTGCTCCTTCGTCACCAATTCTAACCTGATACGTTGTACTATTGAATGAATCCACAAGAAGTCCTGCAATGATAATACCGTCCTTGTCATCAGCATAGATACATCCCCAGGTATTTTTCTCAGTAGGCTCCAGCGTTACCGATGCTATACCGGCACCCAGAAGTATGGCATCTTTTCTATTTACCTGAATAGGCGCATTCAATGTGTAATGTCCTGGTGTAAAAAATATATTTTTGCCATTTTTTAGCGCATTATTGATTTCTACATCAGTGTCTCCTTCTTTGGCAACATACCAGTTGTTAAGTAAATCCTGAATTTTTCCTTTACCCATATCTGTTGACGACCATGAAACTCCTACTCTGTCCTTTTGCCATGCCGGAACAAATACTTTGTACTCGCCATCGTTATCTATAAAAAGAAAAGGTTTTTCTCTGATAATAGGTGTAGTAGGAACCGGTGAATTGGCGTCATCTGCTTGTGGGGGATTGACGCAACCTTGCCAAACCATATTATATGAACCTCCCATTGCTCCGGAACCTGACGGAAAAACAGCATTTCTGGTATACCATTGTTGTTGTCCTCCCCAGTTTGGCCTGGATGATGTATAATGAGTATCAGCAATAAAACCGCCGCTGCCCCAAAAACTGGTATCTCCAATATCCGAAATATATTTTGAAGTACTTTCAATCAGCATTCTTCTTGCACTGGTTGATTGAGAAACTGTCCAGGCAAAATCACGCATCACTGCTACATTTTCTACAGAACGCCAAAATGTACAGGTAGCATTTGCTCCTCCTGAAAGGTGAGGTCTGGTAAATACAGCACCCAATTTAACAGCCGATGGCACTTTACCCAAACCTCCTATGTGGGAATAAAATCCTAATTCTATTGAATTCGCTGTTGCAGATGATGCAGATCCCGCCCCGCCCGAATCGTAAGTCTGATCCTTAATATTTGCTTTAAAATAATAAGCCTGACGCTTTGTAGTCCACTCACCATTTGATCCGCCAAGACCAATAGCACTAAACTGCGAATTAATATCGTTTCGCGCAGTTTCTGCTTTTTCATATTTTCGATCATAGAAATACATATTATTGCCAAAGATTTGGTTCTCCAACGAAACTATTATCGTTATAGCATTTCGGGTAATTTTATAATAGTTTTCATATTTATCAGTATTTGGTTTATTATCTGTAAATGTCAATTTGGTAGTCGAACCAACAGAAACAAAATCTGATGCCAGGTGACTGCCTCCTCTTGTAATTACGTAATTTCCTGAAGCGCCAAATGCCGGCCATGATAAGGTTATACTATGTTTCTTTTTGTTGTAAACAATCTTGCCTTCTGTCTTATTCTCCTGATTTTTTTCATCAGATAAATTTAGCGTTACAAAACTGCATAGCATCAGCATGACTGTAAATGCAGTAAATACTGAGATTAACTTTTTAATCATAAATAATCTTTTTGGTTTAATAGTAATAATAGTTTTTAAGGATTCGAAAAATAGTCATAATCTTTAACCTATAGGTCCGTATTTGGTTCCGATTTTCTCATCAAAAACTATACAAAGGCTCAATTTTCCTTTAATACCAACGCTAAAAGTTAAAGACTGAATACCTAACAGAGTAGTAATTACAAATAGAGCGTTTTGGATCAGGTGAATTCTATAGAAAAACAAATATTTCATTTAACACGAAAAGAACTAAAAAAATCACCTTCGTATCAAAATGTTATTATATTTACCAATCATAACATTATACTTAGTTCTTTATGGAAAGTTTTCTTATAGTTGCGTTATTTTGTTTTTTAATCTACATCCTTAATACAATCAAAGGCCGTTTCGACCGTCTTGAAAACGACATTAATAGACTTAGCAAGAAGATTGATGTTTTAAAAACAGTTGAAAAACCTGCTGAAATTATTCCTGTTGCACCAATTGCTGTTGCAAAGAAAGAAGAATTCAAAATTGATCCTGAACAGTCGAACAAGGCTATTTTTGAACCTACTCCACCAGAAGTTGTCAAAGAAAAAATCTCAGACGAGCAATTAGAAAAAATAGCTTTATCTTCTAATATTGATAATACATCTAAACCTATTGAATCGAGACCTCTGGAACCAAAACCAGTTCAAAAACCAATTATTCCTGTTGAACCGAAAAAATCTTTTTGGGAAAATTTCAAAGAGCAAAATCCGGATTTAGAAAAATTCATTGGTGAAAACCTTATCAATAAAATTGGAGTTTTGATTCTTGTATTAGGAATTAGTTATTTTGTAAAATATGCTATAGACAAAGACTGGATCAACGAACCTGCCCGTGTTGGAATTGGTGTTTTATGTGGCGCCCTAGTGATGGGAATTGCTCATAAACTACGTAAAAATTATGCCGCCTTTAGCTCTGTAATTGTTGCTGGGGCAATTGCGATATTCTATTTTACAATAGGAATTGCTTTTCATGATTATCATTTATTCAATCAAACGGTTGCCTTTAGTATCATGGTAATTATTACGGCATTTAGCGCTTTAATATCATTATCCTATGACCGAATTGAGTTAGCAGTACTTTCGCTAATTGGCGGATTTGCGGTTCCGTTTATGGTCAGCACCGGCGAGGGGAATTACGTGGTGCTTTTTACCTATATCATCATTTTAAATATCGGGATTTTAGGCATAGCTTATTACAAAAAATGGAATCTGGTTAATGTACTTGCCTATATATTTACCGTCTTATTATATGCCGCATGGTTAACCAGAGATTTAAGTTCTGACAAACCTCACTATTTAGGAGCCTTAGTATTTGGATTTATTTTCTATTTCATTTTTATATTAATGAACCTTGTAAACAACATCCGATCTAAAGGGGAATTTTCTAAAACCCAACTCACAATTCTGGCTAGCAATACCTTTTTGTTTTATGGTGCCGGAATGGCGATTTTGACTAATTATCATCCGGAATTAAAAGGTTTATTTACTACGATTCTTGCCTTGCTGAATTTAATTTATGCCTGGTTTTTATACAAAAAATTCGATCTCGACCAGAAAGCTGCTTATTTACTTATTGGCTTAACGCTGACTTTTATAACATTAGCAATTCCTATTCAGTTCGAAGGCAATTATATCACCTTATTTTGGGCAGCAGAAGCCGTTTTGTTATTGTGGTTATCTCAAAAATCCAAGGTTACAAGCTATCGATTTGGCTCTATAATAGTTCACATTCTAATGATTTTCAGCCTT